ACCACCACGACTACCACCACCACCACCACCACCCCCACCACCACAACAACAACAATTGCTACTACTACGACGACGACGAGCCGACGACGACGACTGAGACTACGACCAGGACTACCACTACGACGACAAGTGCGACTACGACGACGACGACTACTACCACCACTTTTGGTACTGATGCGTTTACGAGTAATGGTACTTGTATTGGTGCAAAAACGAGTACACGTACTAGTTGTACCACTGCCCCTAAATTTTGTTCGTCCTTCAGAGGGACCGTTGGACAGCACAAAGCTTACCCACGTTCCAGCAAGCATTGTGCAAAGCGGCGAGAATTTGACAAGAGTTTCACCGACTCAGCTTGGCCACATCGGGCCTAGGGGGACGTGTCGAGCGTCCAGAAGTCGTGCGAGGCCCTTGCCTAGCCGTTGCGGCCCGCCGTTGGGATCTGTGTCCCGTTGTATTCCAGGATTGGCATACAGTGCTTGTGCGCGCATGGGCGCTTTCGTGCCGTCCAATCGTGCCATGACTGGCACACGCCGGTTGTGCAGGCCCAGACCTGCTGGATGTTTCACAAGGGTTGACTGAGGCCGGCCAGGACATCCTACGCTGGTGCGTCTTCCGATCAACTCCCTGCGCAAGCCACCTCCCATGAAGGGCGCTGGACTCGGGTTTGCACCGGGACCCTGCTCTCTCGGACGCCGCTATAAAGGTGCGAGGGAGAAAAAAAAAAAAACGCCCTTTTGGGTGCTGCCGCGCGCCGCGTGTTTACGTCGCATTAGGCTCCTTTGCACTGGGGCTGCGCAATAAAACAAATGCAGCTTAAGCGGGCTTGGGAACATGCATTATTGTCATGAACATGTTTGTTTTGTCGATCTTTGCCTTACTTGCCTGGTAGTCAGCCGTCGTTTGGGTTCAATGACTTCCCATGTCTTTACATCATTCAACATAATCAGCCGGAATCAGAAGCGAGCATTGAATCATCAGACGTTATCATTTAAACAGATGTTGAGTGAGAATTTAGCCGATGGCGGGATAGAGGCTGGCCGGGATGTGGCTTGAAGAAAAAAAGTCTGTGGCTTCGGGTTCAATGCAACCTTCAGCTTGGCAGGTGGTGTCAACCAAGCCCGCATGTCCAAGCTGGTCCCTTCCGAGGCGGGTGTTTGTGAAAGCATGTTTACGAAAAAAAGGTATGCGGCGTATGTGTGACGATGCAGCCGAGGGGACACGAACAGTGACTTGCATTGAGGATGGTGGTACAGGTTTCATTACCAAATCCTACTGTGTCCACCGCACACTCAATGACAGGGCATCCCGCGCAACTGCCAAGAAGTTGCATCTGTCGAAAAGGCACCAGCAGGACGACGTTGGAAACGATTCAGTGCAAATGACCATTGCAAAATTCTTGAACTTCCCTCAACCGTTGCATTTGGCAGGATTTGCTAGGCACACAGTCACCGGGGCCTGCGACGTACACGATGCTGATCTGCAATTCAACATGTGTGCTCGTGTTGCATTCTGCTGGAATCTTGTTCGATGTCAGTCTGTTTTTGGATGCTGATGGCACTCTGAACACGGTTGCCGGTAGCACTGCAGAGCAACTCAGGCCACAACGTCAGCGCAAAAGTCCGAGCTGCAGCTTCGGGACTTTTGACCCCCACAGTCCGGTCGGTGAATTTCACAAATGGCAAACACGGCACATGGTCGCACATGCAGGAGGAGCAATCGACCCTGTTCAGCCCCAGTGCTTGAGCCCCGGCATTCTTGACGCATTTTGTGTACTGTTGTGTTTGGGTTGTGTGCTGTGCGATTCCCCTGACAAGGCGTCGAGCTTCGACGAGCGATCTACTGGCGAACGTGTCCGCTCCAGAAAAGGCCGAACCTCGAACACAGAGTGGTGCCCATGAAAGACATCTAGCACCTGATACTGTATAAAGCAGTGTCGTCAATTCAGCCATTTAATGCCTCCCAACATTCGCAGAGGCAGACCTGAAGCCACGTCCCGGAAGTGCGGTGATTGGGCGAGCGTCCAGGACCCTTACGAACCTCGAGCGGCCATTGCATGAAGAAATGGCCCGTTCTGTCGCATGATTGTTCATGGCGTGGTGTAATCTGATAGTTGACAAACACTTCGAACAATTGACGACTTTCAAGAACCACCACATACCAGTCTGTCACAAACGGTTTCTCACATGAGTGTGGGGTTACGTCTTTGTGACTCCGGCATACGTGCTGTGCGGCGGATCCCATGCCAGCTTCAAGTTTGGCAGGAATGTCGTGCCTGTGCAGCCAGATGTGTTCCCGGCTCAGGGTGCAAAGGTTTTAGCAACGAGGTTGTTAGCGGGCAAGAGCAATGCTTGCACCAAGGCACACATTCCTTTTTACCGATTCTCCTGGCCCGATGCGTGTGGCTCCAAGTGATGCTGGCAAGAGCACTTTTCCACTTATGACAATTAATTATTGCGCGAAATGGTTGGTGAGGCTACAACCCCGGCCGGGATATCGTTGAGCCCAGTGCTCCATCATATTCCATCAGGCCATTGCAGGATTGGTCTTTCGTTTAGGTTCACTTGCGCATCTGGGCGACCAGGTTTGCAGCTCTCGCAGGGTTTTCAAGTTCCCGCTGTGGGTTCACGCGATGTCATGGTGTCGGCTGGTTCAGGCCGCGCGGTTTTGAACGAGCCACGACGACCAGTAAAGTTGGTGGGTACCCCAGCGGCTACATGCACTATCATTCGCATTTGCCATTAGGCTGAACGGCGCATGGCACAGGCATCGCATGTTGTTGTATAACTTGCAAACATAGGTCGGACGTCTCCTCTTACTGAAAATAACCCCTACATCGTACCTACAAGCCTTGCTCTAAAATCTTTAAGGCCCGTGTATATATATATATATAAATAAATGTATGTATGTATGTATGTATGTTTGTTTGTTTGTTTGTATGTTTGTATGTATATACTGTTTTTTATTTTTCAGTGCCGCCACATGCTTGCCATGAGGTCCGGGACTTTATCCAGTCCAGACTCGGGAGCACATGCGCTGCGCTTCGACGTTGCGTTGTAGCACCTTGGCTTGAGAGGGTTCAAGGGCTAAGGGACATATTAGTTTAGTGTTTAGGGTGTAGGGTTCAGGGGTAAGGGACATATTATAGGGTTTGGGGGTTGAGGAACCCACAGATTCCTGGATGCAAAAGGAACAAGGTTCCCGGGCAAGACTGCAAGAGGCCTGGATGCAAGAAAGGGCTTAGGGTCCCAGGCGCAAAACAGGTTATGAATGCAGTGTTGGTGGCTGGTTCTTCTCCGGTCATTTGTGGTAGTCATGAATCCTGCCCACTCAGAATTATTCGGTTATCCCGTCAGAAATCGACATCTACTTATCGCAGCGCGGCAGCCGCAAACCCCTAACCTGAGGTCCTCAGTGGAGCATCGCGCGGCAGGAACGCGTTACGCTCAGTCGCCGGACACGAACTGAGCCAAGTGAGCGCAGCAAAAATATGCAAAAATGACCAAATTGTTATGCCAGGTTCGACCGTACATGCACCCACAATCTTGCCAAGTCTACAGTCTAGAAGAGAGTTTTGTCGTGCATCAGGTTGGCGAAGAACAAATCCCAGACGCAGCGCTCGCAATTGTAGCAGTGACAGAACCGGCTCCACCAGGCCGGCAGCTTCGTCCAGAAGGGAAATTTTGTAGCTGTGATATACTTCGGAGTTTTGGGATCGCATTGTGGCTACTTGAGCGTGACTGCAACTTCAACACGGTGGCCTGGGGCAGGTGGAAATATGTGCCAGACACAGAGATCATCAATAAGTATACTCAGGAAACATCATGCAAGCAATGGGCGGTGTGATTGCTGTCGTTGCCGATGCTTTTGCACTGACGTCTCGTGGCATTATAGTGGTCCAAACCCAACCGACCGCGACTGCGCTCTCGCAGGTGCTTGCTTCGTGGCAAGGCCGCAGCCGTGGCAGTCAAGACAACTTATAATTCTTGGTTTGAGAGGTCCGCTGGAAAGGAGGCGGCTTCGTCAAACTCAGTATGCACACGAGATGCCAGATCTTTTTCTGCAATCGTGTCGCAGCGCTACAACATGTCACAACCGGGATGTTCAACAGCTTGGGCAGGTTACGCTTGCAGCTGTGCATCATTCTAACACATGAGCTCTTTGTCCTTTACAGCCAGCCAGCCTGTCTGCCCAATCGTCTTAGCTTCACAAGAAGTTCGTGTGTTCTCAAAATCGAATAAATCAGTGTTGTTGTGTTGTGGATTCCTGCTGTTCACATGACCACAGCCGAACCTTGCTCCAAAGACTCTTCTGTAACCTTCCTTCCGCGCCATGCACAGCAGGCCGGACCTGGTTGCACCTTCGGTCGGGCTGGGCGTGACGAGCAGAGGAAGTTTCTGGGATCAACCACTATCCACCCAACCGGAAGACATGCGTACAAATGCAGCCGTTGTGTTCATGTGATCATGCCGCAAGTGAACGCATAGGACTCATAGGCAGAAGATGCTGCAAGGCTCTCGATAAGGGTTCCAACTTCATACAGAGTTGATAGGCATCCTGCTTGTGTCAACGGTGTTTCTTTGCTGTGGTTCCTTCTCAAAAGTCAGAAGCTGTGTTGAGTGAGGTTGGGTGTGTTCCAATGTGCGGCCGAGAGGCTGCACACCCAGCACGAGGGACCGACAGCCCTGTGGGAGTTTCAGAAAATGGGAGGATTGAGTCGAAATCGGTGTGAGGCCCTGACTCTTGGTTGGTCCAGAAAGCACTTCAGGAGAAGCTCTGGATTAAGAAAAGGCGATGGTTCAACCATCCACTCCCGGTCGCGTCTATTGAACAACATGGGGACTTTCGCTGAAAGGCCGAACCTTTCCCCCCCCCCCCCACACATGCACCATTATTTGCTTTTCCTTCAGAGGCAACCACACCGGCTCCGATGCGGCGTCCTTAGCAGTATTGACAAATTCTGCACCCAACACTCTGCGTTTCAGTCAAGCTCAAGCATGGTCAACTCTTGCAACTCTGGGTTGGACCAACCTGCAGGCAAGAGTGTTGAGGCTTTGATGTCTCATGTTTCCCCTAGACTTCCCTGAATCCTAACCCGTCAAGCCCTCATAAACCCTAAACCTGTCAAAGTTGAACTTCAATCCCAAACCCGGAGCGCCGAACCCTAAGCTCTAAACCGTCATTCGACACCGTCCACGGGTTAAGGGTTTAGTGGTCTAGGGTATACCCATAGGCCCCTAAGTAGGTCCTTTTTGGGATGACCTTATAGGATTCTAAATATAAGCCACAAAAAGGAGCTACTTAGGGGGTCTATGGGTATAGGGACGATGCTCCCGACGCTATTTGCAGCTCTCGGGTCGAGCGTAACAGGTCAAGGCAGCCCCGAAGTCCCGAAGCGTCGAAGCCCACATTGCACCCCACATTTCCATTCCTCTCTGTCCCCTAGGCTTCCAAGGACCGTATAGTTAGGAGTTAGGGCCCCAGACCCAGACCCTTTAAGGACCCAATTATAAGGTCCCTGGAAGCCTTGGGATCTCTGAGGGCTTTAAATGCAAAGGTTTCCTCTGATGCGAAACATACAAAGAAGCTCACGGATGAACTTCTCCTCAGCTATGCTCAGCCACCGGGACTTGCAAGATCGAAAGATGGTTGCTCTAAGTCCCGAAGGAGCCGACACAGAAGCACAAAGTCCGCAAGCCTATGTTTGAATCAGCGGTCTACATGCAGGCTTCAGGGCTTGAGCCTGGACCTGTACCCTACACCTTTCAAATGTCCAGTCTGCATAAACCGGCCTCTTGCAATGTCTACCTCCAAACTTTCAATCCCACGAACATCGTGTTCCGTTGGATGCTGGAAATGCCCCGACCTCGCCATCATCCCCACACCGCCAAGCCCATCCAAGCCCTTTCGATGTATTCCGCAAGCCACTGACCCTACATCAAAAACTCTGTCCCACGGACCAGGTCCAGAGCTACCTCCCCATTTGGACGTTACGTTGAGACCATTTCACGAAGAGGCCCCGGCGAGTGCTTGCGTGATGACCCTGTACCTCTAGAAGTGACCTTGGGCTGCTGCTGCTTGCATGCTCTGTCGTGCAGGTTTGCCTGTATGTATGCATATCTGCTTACCCCTGGCTCGGCCTGAACCTGTAAGGGATCGGAGTCTGAGGCCGTGCTCCTAAACCCTAGACCCTAAACCCCAATACCTAAAAAAAACCCTATACCTTCTTGGCTTTGCTTTTGATCGGCCAGCTTATGTCGACCTTACGCTTGAGCCTTTAAAGCGGCCTGTAGAAGGGTGTGTAGAGTTTTGTGTCTTGTAGTGTGAGAGCCGCTGACATGGGTGACTTGGCACATGAGTGCTTTCACCCAGCATATCAGTCTGCCTATGAATCTCGTTGCCAGCGCTGCCGTTCCCTTGATATGCGAACAGAGTCTTGGCAGCTAACTAAACTATGCCAGCCTTGGTCAGCTGGGCGGGAAAAAGACAGCAAGTCTCAAATCCCGAGCCGCCTAAGCCTAAGCACTCGACCTTCATCTCGAGTTAAAAGTCCGAGAACCCCTTCATCCTACCCCCACCGCAAATCCCAAGCTCTACACTCACAGCTCCCTACCCAAAGACTCCAAAGCCCTTATCAGGTCACAAAGATGCCAGGCGGACACCACTAGGATCCACCAAGTGGCTCCTGTGCAGCCCGTTGCTGCTTAATTGTACATACTCCACTCGCCAGATACCGCCAGTTTCTGATTTTGAAGGGTGCCTTGCGCAAAATCGCACAGGTCTGTCTGCTCATTTTCAATGCTTGAGAGCACAGCTTCAGCAACGGAATGTTTCCCCGTAGCTCAGCTGCTGTGTGCTTTTGCTACATAACCGTCGTGCCCAAAGTGTGGCGATCCGGAAAAAGCACAAAATCGATCGTAAACCCCTAAACCCTAGACTCTATAGAGTCTAGACTCTAGACCTTCAGCTCTCAACCCTAATAAACCTGAATTGAGACGATACCATGATCGGGCCGGAACAGAGGCCAGGTCCACTCAACTTCGTTGCTAAAATAATCACAACAATTAATAACAGTATAATGTTATTCATTATTATATACAGTTATTATTAAGTATTGTTGGGTCGTGAGCCTGAGTGGCGTTCCGACTCTTCTCCCAGCTCAAGCTGAGGGACAACTATGGTCTGAGTTGGTTGCGCGCGAACGAACCCGCTTTTAGGGATTCAGGGCTTTAGGGTTTAGGACTTTTTTCTACGGCTTACGACAATCAGCGCCGGACTGGAAATCTGAGCCTCCCGGAGTCCACAATTCATCGATACCACGGTTGAAGCCACCAGCCAGACTGGTTCTGTAGAGACATGGCCCTCGTCTACCCAAGGTGCACGGTGCTAAAGAACATGCTCCAGGTCCTGGTACTGTCATTTCGGCTTGTGTTGCATTGTGTAAATCATGAGTAACCTACATTGACCTACCAAATCCTTAGTGAGCTCTGTCTGAACCCTGACCCTAGTATCCTGGACCCCGATAGACCCGAACCCTTTCTCAAAACAAATCCTAAACCCTGAAAAGATTCATAAACTACCTGGACCCTGAGGATCCTACCTTTTCAGGGTTCCTTACTATGAAGTCTTTTTATAGGTCCTGAAAAAGGTAGGTTATTTTGGGTGAAGGTAGGTAGGCCTTTGGGACATTTCTGTTATATTTTCCCTTATTGGGCTTAAGGGGAACTTATTTACTGTTAGAAGAAGCCTTTGAGGCATCCTTGAACTCTGGCGCTATATGGGCTCGCAGCAGTATCTTTACCCGGCCCTACCTCTGCCCTGAGAAACACTGGGGCCTTGCTGAAAGAATGCCTGCCAAGAGCTCAGAGTGTCTGGGTTTTTTTTGGGGGGCGGTTCCGGATATAGGGCTTAGGGTGGTTTACAATAGGGGTTCGGGGCCGTTTAGGGGTTAGGATGGTTTAGGGTATTGGGGTTCAGGATGCTTTAGGGGTTTAGGGTTTAAGGTTTGGGGGCTCTTGGGGGTTCAGGATGTTCAGGTTCCAGGTTTTGAGGGCTCCAGGATCTTAGGGCATGAGGGTTTTAGGGTTCACCGCTTTGGGTTTAGGGTTTTTGAGGGCTCCAGGATTTCAGGGCTTGAGGGTTTAGGGCTTTGCGGCTCATGGGGCTTTAGGTTTTCATGGCTTTGGGTTTTGAGCACTCACAACTGGGACAAGCATGCCTTCGGGGTTTCAGGCTCTGGACTCTCGGGCTCTAGGGATTTGAGATTTTAGGGTGAGGGCTTAATAACTCTAGGGATGTATTCTGGTTTAATTAGGAGGTCGGGCTTTCGGGTTGAGGGCTCGGGGAGTGTCTGGGAGAAGCTCCACAATCCTAGTCTAAATATTCAGGCCCCTGTGAACCCTAAACCCTATATACCCTAAACCCCTAACCCTAAACC